TAATAACAGGTCAAGGGGGACAAAGGTTCTGATACCCAATGACCTGTGGAGTCCAGCTTGGGGTACGCGAGCTAACAGCAAAGCTGCTCTCTGCTCTACAGATGGAATAGTGAATGCAGGCATGTCTTTCTCATGGGAAAGCAGGATTTGGGCAGCAGACATGAATGGATGCGACCACCAGCTTTCTTTGGGATAACGAATTTCTATGTCACTTTTGGCTGCATCCACATAGAAGAGTATAGGAGCCCAGAAATCCTCCTGGAGTGTTGGTTGATCTTGTATCTGTACCTGTCAGTTCCCCATTTTCCATAACAGCAGGAAAAGAGTTTTTGAGGTTCATTGCTAAAATTCCTTTTCACAGCATGTTGTATTAGCCAGGGACAAAGGGACGGTGCCTGTTGCATCATGGTGAGTCAAATCTATTCAGCAAATATTTATGGAGAATACTTGAATCTGGCATTACGCTACCCTGTGGATCCTACCCCTGGTTTTGGGACTATGGACAAGTTACTTCTGTACTGGAGAGTCCTGGGTTTCCTCGTCCTTTGTAGATGTTATTTGTAACATGAGATTAAGAATACATTTACCATTTAAAACTGTTAAGATTAAATAGGATCATGCTACTCAACAAAACAGGCAAGACTTGCCCTGGTGCCTGGAACAGAGTGAATGGGGAATGTTAGCCTGTAGAACAATGATGCCAGAGACAATATTGATGGGTAAAGTTATAACCATTCACTCAGCAAATATTTACTAAATACCACCCATAAGCCAGGCAGTGTTTTATGCCCTTGGGGCACATTAGTGAAAATAGATTAAAAAAAAAAAATCTGTTGACTTTGCGGAACTTACCTTATGGTACATCAAGATATTCGTTAACACTTGGCTTAGTTTAAGAATTTACTGTGAAGACTAGTACTCAGTGAATTAACTGGTATCAGGTCTAATAGCAGCCTAAAAATTAAAGTCTGATTTGGGCAAAAAAAAAAAAAAAATCCAAGTTTTATGTTTTAAATGCTTACGGAAGGTGATTTCTAGGTCCTTTTTCCATGTAGCAATAAACTCTTAACGATTCAGGATGGAACTAACCATATTTTCCAATTTAACAATAAAGCTGTATGTCTGACAAGGAGACTTTGCTTATGAAACAGTATCTGAATTGAGGATTGTCTCAGACTCAGAAAGTCTCACACATATGGTGCCCATACCTATGAAGTTGGCCTGGGGGGCGGCGGGGTGGGGGGGACTAGAAAGCAACACACACTGTGTGTCCCTCCTGGAGATCAATGCATCTCAGTAAAGCTGGCTCTGAAATGTGCCTTGTGCCCTCTGGCCCGGACCGACATGCTGCATGTGTCCTAACGGGCAGCAGTACAATACGTTGCAGAAATAGAAAGGTTCGATTTTTAACTGTGTTGCTGTGGTTTACTAGCAACTTTTCCCAGGCTTCAAAGGGACATTCTGGAGACTCCTCTGATGTAAGAGGGTGTTCCCACTTCAGCTGTGGCCAGCAAGCAGATGCTCTGCAAACGCTCTTTGTCCGCGTGTGCTGATAAAGGCAAGGAAACTGTGAATAATGGAAAAGAATGGCAGGCAGTTCTTTTGCTGGCTCTGGCGATGTTAAACACAAGCGAAACACACACTTCAGCTTCTCCCTGGCAGAGCGCTGTAGTCCCCTTGAAATTTTTCACTCTTGTGAGAATGACTCACATCTTGGAAATGACAAGTTCCAAGTCTGGGGCTCCGCGCACCTTTAGGCATTGGTTAAGGTGCCCGGTGGGAGTTTTCAGCATCCTGTCAGCTGTTTTAATTAACAAGGGATGCTGTGCTCTCTGGCCTTCCACTGGGAACTCACCGTTTCGCTGCTCCCCAGCTCCGAGTTTTTCGTTGTGTTCCGATTACCTTTATCAGCCTCTGATGTCCTGCGTTAAGTGCAGGAAGGGGAACACGCATCTGTGTGTGTTGTTTTTAGCTTTCTTGTTAGCCAATACTTGAAACTGTCATGCTTTGGGTTTTTAAAAACCCTCTCATAAGGATTTGGCTCCTCACTGCAGCTCTGTGAAGGGGCCCTGACAAATACTATTATCTCCTCTTAACGAAAGAAAATCATGTCCACAAGCTAGCATCCTGGTCTCCAGGCTGCTTTGCATTACCTGGGTTGTATTAGTTAGAGTGAAGTGAACTCAAAATTCGTAGTGGGTAAGCAAAAAAACAAAACTCAGCAATTAATTCTTGCTAACAGAGCATCCAAGGCAGGTCTTCCTGATTGGTGGCTGGCTCCCTTCCATGTGGCAGTTCAAAAACCAAGATTCCTTGATCTTTGGGCTCTGCAAACCCCGGGGACCTTGTCGGTATGCGCATCAAGCCTGTGGAAGGAAAAGAGAGATGGCAGGAGACCCTCCTTCAAGTCCCTATCGGAAGTGGCCCATGTCAGGGTTCTAAAAGCTGGAACACCAGAGCCAGCCACCCCAAGCCATCTTGTGCTTAGGAGGGGAAACACGGTTGATGGAGAAGTCACACAAAGTTTCCCCAAAGCACAATGTGTTTCCACTCAGGACCACCTCAGTGTGTAACGACAGGCACTGGACTATGGATGATGCCTCTTGGATCTGGGAGACGTGTTGGCCACACAAGGGGTAACAACCAACATCATACCAGGTGCTGGGTGGGCATTCAATTTTAAGTCAACGTGGAGTGGGAAAACAGAAAGAGACTTTGCAGAGATCATCGCTTAAGTTTCCACTTAAAATAGATTTAGTTTTCAAAAGCTGGTTGAATTCAAGAAAAAGGTCAAGTATTAATTATATATAGATATGACAAAAACCCCAAAGTCAGAGTGAATGATTGAAGATGGGGACGCCATGTTTATAAACACCAGTGACATCCTTCATTATAGTTCATTATTGGAAGAGGAAGACATAAACTCCGGGGTGGGGGATTGTTATCATGGCTTATAGTAAGAAATATATATTTGGTTTTCATCTTATTCCTGGCACAGAGCTTCTAAAACCCTTGTGGGTTTTTTTTTTTTGGTTTTGTTTTAAGATTTTATTTATTTATTTATTTGACAGAGAGAGAGAGATCACAAATAGCAGGGAGAAGCAGGCTCCCTGCTGAGCAGAGAGCCCGATGCGGGGCTCGATTCCAGGACCCTGAGATCATGACCTGAGCCGAAGGCAGAGGCTTTAACCCACTGAGCCACCCAGGTGCCCCAAACCCTTGGTATTTTGAAGTGAGACGATAGAGGTGTCTTTTATTATGTTAATGGCGTGACTTTTAGACAGTCTAAGTAAGGGTGGGGACTGGTTGCTGGTGGAGCCAACCATTTCATTAGAGGATTGGAGCATCTAGTCCCACCCCCCAGACCTCTGGGGAGTCCAGAAGGGCTGGAGATTGAGTTCAAATTGCCAATGGCCAATGATTTAATCAGATACGCCTGTGTAATGAAGCCTCCATAAACACGCAGAAGGGGAGAGTTGAGAGGGCTTCTGGGCTGGTGAACACAATGAGATTTGGGGGGAGTGGTGCTCTTGGAGAGGCATGGAAGCTCCGTGCCCTTCCTTCAGACCTTTTTTGCTGGCTGCTGTTCCTCGTAAAATAAACCAGGAATCTAGTGAGTAAACTGGTTTCCTGAGTTCTCTGTGAGCCGCTCTGGCAAACTAATCAAAACCAAGGTAGGTGGGTCTTGGGAACCTCTGATTTAGATAGAACTGGTAGATCAGAAGTACAGGTCACCCCCTGGGTTTGGGACTGGTTTCTGAAGTTGTGGAGATGGGGGCAGTCCTGTGGGACTGAACCCTTAACCTGAGGAGTCTGATGCTGTTGGGGGGATGGTGTCAGAATTGAGTTAAATGGTGGGACAACCACTGTTGCCGGAGAATTGTTTGTTGGGTGTGTGGGAAACAACCTTCCTATCACACACCAGAGTTGGGTCCAAGAACCCCAGAAGACAAACAAAATAACAAAAGTCTGCCAGGTAACTCTTCTACGTTCAGCTTTGGAGATACTCAAGGAAATTAAAAAAAAAAATGTCCTCCTATACTCTGGTTGTTCAAAGCCTTATTAGGAGATAATACAAACTGTAGAGAGGAGTACGCAACCGGCTACCATTAAAAGCTGAAATGTGTTTCAGGTCTAATATATTACAGTGTGTTGCTGTTTGTTCCTTAATTTATGAATGGTTTCTATAAACACTTACTGTGTGCTGACTGTGTTACAGTAAGATTTCTGATCCTCAGGATTTTTTGTGCTGGTGGTTGGAGGAAACAGACTTCTGAACAAAGGAGTACAAATCAGAATTACAGGGGCTTGAGAGATGTATGTGCCGGGTCCCTAGGCTTAAAGAAGTTTTAATGTCAGCAGAGATTTGGAGTCTAAATTCCCTCATGTAACGGATTAAAAAACCTGAGGCTCAGAGAGGTAAAGTGACTCAAGGTCACACACAGCTAATTGTTGGAAGAGTTAGTACTAGAATCCAGATCTTCAAACTCAGATGGCTGCATGGAGAGGGTGTGAGCTGAGGAATTTGCATTGGAGAGGAGATGAAATTTAGGAAAATCTCCAATGCATTTTTCACTGGTCAGTATTGGGGGGTAGAGGGCCCTATGGTATAGGAAGAAAGAATGCCTTGCTCTCTAGAACAATTAGGTTCTACACCTAGCTGTGGCCTCCTACATAGAATGTATCCTTAGGTAAGTGATCCAAAATGCTAAAAATAATACTTCCACATATGTTTTTGACATGTATGGTTTCCAGTAGCACCTCGCCACCATCATCTCAATTGATTCTTGAAACAGCCCTCTGGGGTCTATCAGAAGGGCATCCTTACCCTATTTTGCAGATGAGAAAACTGAGGCATAGAAAGGCATGCAGCTGGTTAAGTGAGAAAGTGAGCTTGGAGCTCTCGGGTGCTTCTAGCCCAATACTCCCCATGATGCCATGTTTATACCAAGTAGGGGACAAGAGTGGTTAACCAGCAGTATCATTTGATTTTCTTCCAGATGCATTGTGAGAGGTTTCTGTGTATCCTGAGAATAATTGGAACCACGCTTTTCGGAGTGTCTCTCCTCCTCGGAATCACCGCTGCTTATATCGTCGGCTACCAATTTATCCAAACAGATAATTACTATTTCTCTTTTGGACTGTACGGTGCCTTTTTAGCATCCCACCTCATCATCCAAAGCCTGTTTGCCTTTTTGGAGCACCGAAAAATGAAAAAATCCCTAGAAACACCCATTAAATTGAATAAAAGTGTTGCTCTTTGCATCGCTGCATATCAAGAAGATCCAGACTACTTACGAAAATGTTTGCAATCGGTGAAGAGGCTGACCTACCCGGGGATTAAAGTCGTCATGGTCATAGACGGGAACTCGGAAGACGACCTCTATATGATGGACATCTTTAGTGAAGTCATGGGCAGGGACAAATCAGCCACCTACATCTGGAAGAACAACTTCCACGAGAAAGGTCCTGGTGAGACGGAGGAGTCGCATAAAGAAAGCTCGCAACATGTCACCCAGTTGGTCCTGTCCAACAAAAGTATTTGCATCATGCAAAAATGGGGTGGAAAAAGAGAAGTCATGTACACGGCCTTCAGAGCGCTGGGACGCAGTGTGGATTATGTACAGGTGGGTTTCCGAATTCCTGCCAGGGCAAACATACATTTAAATAAAGCAGCTTTTGTATCTCTCCAGGCATGTGCTATATAGCCCATCCTTGTCTCTCTGAACACAGTACTCCTTTCAGTTCATTTGAAAACAGCCTGACTGTTGAAAGCACAGTTTGAAAGAGAGGAAAAAAAAAAAAAACATCTTGTGTAACTGTTAAGACTATCTACGAAAATGCTTAACTTACGCAGTGTTACGGGTTGGAAATCAAGATTATTTTGAACAGGAGACCCTTCCTTCCTTCTCCCTCCCTCCCTCACCTTCTCTGCCCCCTTGGTTCTGCCAAGTCAAATCCAACGTCATTTTCCACAGTCTTAAAATCTCCAGCCTGGTAAGAAAATAGTGTCTGCCAAGCAGAAGGGTCTTGAGAAAATCTGCAGGCTTGAGAGATGGCTATAAAAACGTTTTTCACAGAGACCGGGCAAAATGGGGGTGGTGAGAACGATTTTGATTTAAAAGGGTGAAGAATTCAAAACTGAGAGACAGAAAGAAAAGGAAAAGAAAAAAGAGAAAAACAAACAGACCAAAAAAAAAAAAAAAAAAAACCCTTCCCAGAGCAAAACCAAAGTAATGTTTATTTCATTCCCCAAACAGCATTACCTCACTCACTGCACTTGACCTTTGAAAGCATTTGTGATGGTGTTTGCTCTCATGAAAATGAGACAGGCTCTGTCTGTCATTAATTCCCTGACTGCTCGCCCTTGGGTTTCTCCCCTCTTGGTTCTCACTGAAGCTTTCTTTAGAATGTTGGTAGGGTCCTTGTGAATTGGCAGGTTGCAACTGTCTTGCAGATACTTTCGTTAGGTTTTTGGCCAGGATGATACGGAAAAGGGAGACCTATCTCTGGCTTAAGAAAATTCATTGGGACACCCTCCTAGTCCTCTAATAGGTGAAATTCTACTTTTCAGAAGAACTGTCATATACTTTAGGGGACTTGATTGCCACAAAGTCATGGGCAGTGGCATGACAGGCTCTGTGTCATGGGTTGGGAATGGACACTGCCTTCAGAATCGGTTGATGCTAGCTGGACGACCTCGAGTGGGACCATCTCCCTAAGCCTCAGTTTCCTGCATAGAATAAACCAATCTCATAAGGGGTTTGGGATTACCATGGGGTAAATTTTGGTTAATAGCTGAAGAGTTTTGAGGCACTTTTTTTTTTTTTCTCAGTTCACACTAGTCTGCATATTACTATCTTCTGGGGAGTTGATATATAGTTTCATTCTCTAGTTTCTCCTAATTTCTGGAATGGTCACAGTTGAGGTGGTTTTTAGTTAACTCAGGACATTTTTATGTATTTTCATAATGCAACTTCAGGCCCAGATAGGGGAGGCAATTATCCTTTTATTTACTTATTTTAATAAATATTTCTTAAGGTTTTGTTTATTTATTTGATGCAGAGAGAGAGAGAGCACACAAGTAGGGGGAGCAGCAGGCAGAGATAGAGGGAGAAGGAGGGGAGTGAGACATGGGACCCTGGGAGCATGACCCAAGCTGAAGGCAGATGCTTAACTGCCTTGAGCCAGCCAGGGCCCCTAAAATGACCCTTTTAAAGGAAGTGATGGGATGGCTGGGGAATTTATAGAGGGTTTGAAGACTGAAGCTCTGGGCCTAAAATGAGGAAGCATGTTTTGATATTTTGCCTTTAATTCTAGTTAAAACCATTGCTATGTTGGTCATTTCTAATCAAGAGGTCATTGTGAGCACTTTCATTCTTTCTTTCTTTTTTAAGCCTGTTCTTCCCAAATCCCCTTCTCCCTTCATTCTTGTTTTGAATTTTGTTTGTATCCTTGACAACTTGACACTGTGCCTGACCAGGACAAAATAACACAAACTGTGAAATGTTAGAGTAGGCTTCTTGCTAGAGCCCTAATCAGGTTCGAGAACTTTCCTTCCATCAAGCTGAGGCCTCCAGAGAGGCTGACCCAAGCAGCAGCTGTTCCCTGGGCCCTGAATCCTGCTGGAATTCTCAGCCCATTCTACGCTCTCAAACCTTTTGGCATTCTGAATCCAGGTGATTCCATGCTGTCATCCCTCATCCCATCCCCCGATATTTAACCGTGTGTGTCCTATAAAAATGGAAGTGTCCTATGGTTCAAACCTGTGCATTCTCACCATCCATTCTGAGTGACCCAGGGTCCAAGCGTTGCAAAGCAGAAGCCACAGAAAGACAAAGGAGAGGGGGTTAAAGGAGGTTGGCTACTAAGCATTTAAGTGACTGAATGGGAAGAGCAGGTTGGCTACAGAAAGAAGTGAAGTTCAGGTGCTCACACAAGAGAAGACAGGGTTGGGGCGGGTGTGGGACCATCGGCTCACAGGCTTGCTAACTTGGCTGAAGACACTGCTTAGCTGTGCAGACACAGCCAAGGCAATTGGTCTCCTCTGGTTGCTGCTGGGTCTTGGGCCCTGGTTAGCTCTCTTTCCACTTGACCTTGAGTAGTTGTCCTGCTTATTCTCATGACCTATTTCATGCCTTCACCGCCCTCCCAGCACCGACCCAAACTTCCTCCCTAGCTATTAACACATAGCCCTGCCTCCGACAAGAGAAAATCAAAGGTACTGCTTCTGAATGCTGTCAAGGTCGTCTTTTCTCTTCCTCCTTTACAGTGGCAAAGGTTCCCAACTTCACCTCTTGTCTCAAGGTGAACCTTTCTGCATATTCGCCTGGGCACTCTGGGGCAGCTCCCTCTAATCTCTACCACGGCAAGGCTTTACTGCCTGTCCCTCCACCTGTCTCAGCTCTCCTGTCTGGTCTTCTCCGCCTTAAGCTTTTCAAATAATTAACACCGACCTAGAATACAGAGAAGTTTTAGCCCGGAGAAAGCCAGTGTGGTAGCAAATTCACCTAGGATGCTAGTGGCTGCTTTCAGAGATAAAGAATACAGGAAAACATAAATAATGAAGTGAGAAAAGAAGGAAATGAGAAATAAAAGAGGAGAATGGGGAAGATTTTCTGAATTTCGAATCAAAGTGTTTTCTGGAAAGAACTTTTTTTTTTCCCCAAAGAGAGACATCTGTCTCGTATGGCTTAAGTAAGGTAGGGCAAAGTCTCTTACTTTTGCAAAATAGTACTTCTACTAGCTTTTTTATTTACTATAGTAACACATGGTGGTGTGTTTAAAAATACGGAAAAGCGCAATGAACAAAGTTAATATCCTCCGCAGCAAATACTTGACCTATAGATTCTCAAATTTGATACTTGACAGCCTATACCTTTCTGATTTTCCCCTATTTTGAAATAGTTTTCAGATTAATATTGTAGTTCCTTTTTTTATTTGTTTATTTATTACTTCTTAACAATGTCAGAAGACTTTTTAGGTGTACTTTGATACCTAGATTATGTAATTTCTTTATTCTTCTGCCTTTTTACTGAACATGGATATTCCAACGTAAGTGGCCACTGGTAACCATGTGACCAAGGTGTAACTATCATTATCCCCTGATGTGTGTATTAGGGATTGTCCAGGCACAAAATAACATACTAAGCATAAACATTTTCTACCGGGGAAGATTAGAGGAGACAATTTTATGATTAATTTACTTTTTTTTTTTTTAAAAGATTTTGTGTACTTATTTGACAGAGAGAGAGAGACCACAAGTATGGGCGGGGGAGCAGGCTCCCCGCTGAGCAGAGAGCCGGATGTGGGGCTCGATCCCAGGACCCTGAGACCATGACCCAAGCAGAAGGCAGAGAGAGGCTTAACTCACTGAACCACCCAGGCGCCCTGATTAATTACTCTTGATGCTATCCTAGGTATCCATGATCCTTTAGCAGGAGAAAAGTAAGACAAAATTATTCATAATTGTAGATCTGACCTCCATTATTCATGGAATCTGTATTTGTAAATGACCCCACTCATTAAAATGTAAGCCCCAAATCAGCACTTGCAGTGCCGTGGGGATCATTTGCAGACGTGGAGAACAGCGTACAGTTTGAGTCACCTGACGTGCGTGTTCCCGACTGAGGTCAGAGAAGACCGTGCTCTCAACTGTCTTGTACATGGTACAGCACAGCGTAAACAAGGAGCTTCATAATCTGCCTCGTATCATGTTTCTCACATTGTTGTGCCTTCTGTGGGTGATAGGGCTGTTTAAAGTGCCCCCCCCCAATGTAGTGCTGAGTGCTGGCTAGTGGGACTGCCTCACGGAGGAGCTGGATTTGTTGGGGGGCTTTGTTCAGAGGTCAGTAAAGTGCTGTCGGCCCTGAATTCAATGTTAATGACTCAAATTCACATTTTAAGATGTATTTAAACAGAAATGCAAATAAAACAGGATTCGTTATTGATCCATAGACAAAAATTTGCAACCAGAGGCTCAGAGGAACTGAACCCATATTTGTGCCAGAGGCAATTGTTTTGGTGTTACTCTAAGTCGGTGTTCGTGGAAACTTCGTGGGACGTAACTGTCCAGGATTGTGAGAATCACCCGATGTCCTATTTCCTTGGTTCCTGTTCTCTATGAGAAACCTAAGGAATTCAAATACTCCGAGGGCCAATGTTGAGAATGTTGTGTCTTCCTGTATTGTTCATACTAGAGGGTGAGATTAGAGTATGTTGAAACAGGAATGGGGCAATCTGAATTCTAGACTTGACTCTTGTTGTCTTGCTATGGTAGAACAAATGATCTTCGAGATACATCCCGAGCTCAAAGCTCTAGCTCAGTATAGTTGGTTCTTCTTCTTCTTCCCCTTCTTCTTCATTTTCTTCTTTAAAGATTTTTTTAAATTTATTTGACAGAGACAGTTCACAAGTAGGCAGGCAGGGGTAGGGGAGGGGGGAAGCAGGCTCCCTGCTGTGCAGAGAGCCTGATGGGGGACTCAGTCCCAGGGCCCTGAGATCATGACCTGAGCTGAAGGCAGAGGCTTTAACCCACTGAGGTACCCAGGTACCCCCTTCTTCTTCTTCTTCTTCTTTTTTTAAAATTTTCCAGGATAATTTTAATTCCTCTGACATTGTAATTTCT